ATTCAGAAATGCTGATATTAGGTTAAACTTCCCTTGGCCATTTCCACTTCTACGAAGCCCTCTTGGTATCTGTCCACAAGCTTCTGGTTGTATCTGTACCTTCTCTTGACAGAATATTAGACCACCCTTACCAAATATGCTGTTGGTCCTTTACGTGCCACTCAAACAGCTCTGCATGGACTCCACACACCTCTGAAGATCCCACGTTGTGTCTCGTACCAAGATATTAGCAGCAGATCCTTTAAGTCCTGTCAATTGTGAGTTGAACTTGGATCAGAATTGTTCGTGCACATCTGTCAGCACCCTGTTGCCAGTTAATTGTTTGTCCCCCCTGGGAGGAAGGTACTCACCACAGCTGGCTGGGAGCCCCACAAGCCTTGTTATTTCTAGGTTGCTCCAACCCAGTCATCTGGTCATAATAATTTAATCCTTGTCAGAGTTGTTCAGGTCCTTACACCTGCCCATTTCTCCTGCATGTGACACATGGACTGCAAGAACCAACTGTTCCCTTAATGTCTAATATAGTTCTTGACATGCACTGTTATCACAAGAGAATCAGTGTTTTTATCTGTTAGTGCCCAAATTGTTAGGCTCATCTGTGTGTAAGGCTTTCTGGTGTGCAAAAACCCTTTTGAAAAATAGTGCAGTTTAAAAAGAGTGATTGTTGCAGGTAACCTCAACTGTTACATTGCTTCGTAAACATGAACATCCATCCATTATCTATACACCGCGTTATTTAGAATCACCAATTAACCTCAGCATGTTTTTGGACCGTGTGAGGAAGCGGGAGAACCCAGAGAGAACAGGGAGAACATGCAAACTCCACAGAGAAAGATGTAAACCCAGGATGCTGGAGCTGTGAGGTAACAGTGCTAAGCACTGCTAGACCATGTCGCCCTGAACCTATACCTCATTTTAATTAACATCCCTACTTAATGTCCCGAATTCTAATCGCACCTTCATCTTACGTACTTCTCTAATTAGCTGTGTTGTAGCTTATTGTGCAATTCAGTAATAATTTGTGCTCATCGCTTTCTTGGAAGTTGGACTCTGTTATCATCCATCCAGCCATCTGTGAGCTCAGTTTGAACAATAAGCTGGCAGCATATGCTGCACTGGCACTGCAGTGGATGGAAGGCTGCTGCAGCCAGCGGCTTGCTCTGTGAGCAGGCATCTTCCCAGCCTACATGTAGATCCAGGAATCTGCAGGCTGGTTAGATGGTTGTCACATATCTGGCTGTCTTCGTCGATACCTTGCTTGCGTCAGCTTCCTGGAGGACCATCTGGAGGTAGTTCTGATGTGTCAGTTATTACCTGAGCTTTCTGTGAAGGCTTCTCACCCACATACAGCAGCAACCATGGATTTCAGTTTAACAAGGAAGTGATCACGTCATCCTGAAATATATGTATGAAAATAAATCAGGTTGTATCATCTCAGCAGGGAAGAGTAGACTGCAGAAACACTGTAGATACTCTCCATATCTCATTATAGGAAGGAACTGAAGAGAGTTTTGCAGAGTGCAGAGGGGTTGGGCAGCAGAGACCGAGGGATTGATGAAGCACATCAATACACCACCAGCTGCTGATCAAACAAAGAGGATTTAGGGATCTGACTTGTGTCCAGGTCCCACTTCAGGATCATTATATCCATATCCCTCTCAGCTCTGCAAACATGTATCTTCACAGGTCTTATCTGTCTGATTGTCTGTCTGATCCCTCTCCGCTGCGTGGTTGACTCATAAATCAGGGCTCAGCTGAAGAAACACGTCCATTTTGAAAGAGAAATATTGATTTTAAAAATTCGGGTCAGAGAGCAATATACTTGGCTAAGAAGGGTTGTTTATTCCCCAGCAGCTGTTGTAGCTTCATACCACCAATGTCTGGCCAGTCCAGCTCACTGGTGCTTTCTTTAGTGATGCATTATTCACAGATTTGAGTGAGTTTTCTGGTGTAATATAAAGTACATGAATTCAGAACAGTTTTTGTGGAATCATATTGGCCTCAAATTTGTATGGGTGTTATATTACTTTGTATGTATACACTGCAAATTTTAATCACATAACATTTTACATACTCAAATGAGAGCTGATGTTCAGACACTGACTTATGTGATAGTTATTACCAATTGGTTCCACTTTGCTGTTTTTCAGTCATTGTAAAACCATTACTCACTAGACTGCACGTTTTCCTGCATATATTTTAAATTACAAGCCAAAAGGAAGATTGTGTCATAAAGTTCAAAGTCAGTAGCATTATTCAGTGAAAATCTTTTTTCTGTTATACAATTAATATACAAAACTTTATACAGTCCCAGTTAAAGAAAGTGATGAGTAGGATAGAAACGCTTGTTGTAAGGCTGAGCTATGTGGCAATGCACGACAAACAGATAAGGAAGCATTCCAAGGCTCCGTTTTATGTTTATTTTTTTCTATTATTGAAAACGACATTGGGAGGGGCATGCCTGGAAGGTGGCGCAGTGGTTAACTGTTGTCTCGCAGCAAGAAGGTTGCCGGCTTGCGTCCCAGTGAGGACACCCGGGATCTTTCTGCGTGGAGTTTCCATGTTCTCCCCGTGCAGCGTGGGTTCTCTCCGGGTTCTCCGGCTTCCTCCCACAGTCCAAAAACACGTTGAGGTTAATTGGTGATTCTAAATTGTCCGTAGGTGTCAATGTGAGTGTGCTTGGTTGTCTGTCTCTAAGTGTAGCCCTGTGATAGACTGGTGACCTGTCCAGGGTGTCCCCTGCCTTCACCCTAAGTCAGCTGGGATAGACTCCAGCCCACCGCGACCCTAGTGAGGATTAAACGGTGTATAGATAATGAATGGATGGATGCCTGCAGCTAAAGTACATATTTTACAGATGACACAATGGTTTACTCAGAGGCATCTTCTCTGAGCTCAGCTGCCAATCAGCTTCAGACCTTTCAACTGCTGAACACCTCATTACATGACCGAAAGTTGGTTCTGAATGCTGAGAAAATCTAATTCACCGTCTTTTCCAGAGCTCACTCCCAGATCATACAGTACATAATGCAGCATTCATTTTTTGGATGGGGACTTAATCAGCACGTATCTTTCTAATAGTACTTAGGTATCTAGTTGAATAATAGGCTCTCTTTTAGAGTGCATATTCAGCACTTAGTGAAGAATAATAAGTTTAGGCTGTGTTTTAATACTAAAATGAGGCCTCTTTTAATTTAGCATTTAGGGAGATCACTTTTGTATACAGGCAGCACGAAACAACACATTTCTTAAATTATGCCGTTAATATACTGCATTTTTGCTGAGATAACTGATTGCTTGAAGCTTTTCATGACTGTCATTTTCCAAAGTACTCATTCTAATACAACAGATCATAGTATAATAAGAAGGGAGTTTTATCTCTGGGTTCAGTAACACCACCATCAAAAACCTCCTCTAGCTTCTTATTGCTTTTGAAAAGCGATCATTGCTCAGTTGTTTTGACAGTTGCATGACAAATGCTTAGCATGCCTTATCGTTGGATTTTAATTGCTCAGTGATTGATGCTAGTAGAGGAATAACTGTGTAATTAGTACAATTTACTGTTGTGGTAATGACTCCAGCAAGACTTGCTAAGCATCCACAGACATCATTAGTGTTTGTTCATCTCACCTACAACCATGTATCACTTTGTGTATTCCCATCGACATCAATACAATGTGTGCAGAAAATCATTGTTGTGTAACTTATTCTGATTAAAGCTGAGCCAAGACCCAAGTTCAGATAAGAAGCTACAGTCATCTTCCCTGATGTCTACCTGCCAGTAAATCTGCTGGATATCCTTCCCCCTGTTCCCTTTAATCAGCTCATCTAAAGCTAAACCACTAAGCTGTGCCAGCTATTATACAGCAGATTATCACCACAGCACACAGATAAAGACTTTCAGGCTGTAATAGGTTTTAATAATTAGGTGTTCTCACTGAAGCTTGCTGGTTGATTTCTCACTACAGCGCACAGCAGACAGCTGGGCCTTGTGTTACTCTGGCTGCAGGGAAGATGAGGAGAAGCAAGGTTAGGTCTTATGTTTGGGTGCAGACAGTATTCCACCAGGTTTTGTGCAACCAATATTTCTACTGGATCTTGTTACATCTTGTTTTCTGTTATATTTATGTAGAGATGACAGATTAATTTAGAGGAATACCTCCGGAAGTTTAGATTTTTAGGTTAGTAGTCATGATGCTGTCTTAGATTTAAGAGTGTGTTACTTGACAGTTAACCCAGTGTCAACACTTGTCGTGGGTGAAGTTTTTATGTGGAAATGATCATGCCTGAAGCTATGCAGATGTGGACTCTGAGGGTACATACTGGTATTGTTGGTGCTCATGTAGAATTCATCACAGCATGCCTTTTAAGAGCCTTTATAGTGTACATATATATGGCATTATGGAATAGGAAAGAAAGGTAGCAACTCTCTTGTGATGCTCAAAATCTCTCTTCAGATGGGAGTAACATTAAAGTCCTCTGGTATAGTCTGTAAGGGACAATTCAACATGTGACTATAAAGCTGCTTAAAAATCCTTACATTGCTTTAAGTTCATATAGTGTCTGCAGTGATAGTTGTCTCTTTGTCCATTACAAATAAGAACTACTAGGAGCTAATTCAGCCATTCACTTGACACCAATTTGACAACAAGATATAGGTACAAATTATGCTCAAGGAGAATAGCACCAATATGACTCACATACCCTCTGGGCTCGATTTTAATCACTGACCAGAACATGTAAGAAAATCACTCCCCCTCTCCCTAGAGAAATAAATTCCATCTGAATGGGGTTTTAGATGGCACCTTTGGATATAGACTGAATAATTATACAGCAGCTTTTACAATATTGATTTAATTACCTTTAACTGCAGAAGACCATTTTTTCTTTCCTTTTTCTAACTAGGGACCGTTTTTTATTCTTAATTATCTCTGTCAGTTGTTGCAAAGTCAAACCTTCCTGCATTTTTTATTCTTTGTCCCTCTCATGTCATTCTGCAGTGTATTCTGTCTCAGCCCAAGTTCTGGGCTGTGGAGGTCACAGCTCTTTGCCTCCGGACCAGACTGGAAAAATCAAGAACCCGATGCGTGGAGAGAGCCATGATGCAAACCCAGGTAAACAGATATTCAACTGAACTTAGTCTCTACTCAGGGAAAACCAGAGATACACAGAGTACACATAATGCTATGATCTCCATAGGCATACCTAATAAAGAAAGTTTTTGTGAAATTTGTGAACAGTTTTATTCAACATAAAACATTGGTTGGGCATCTGTATATTCATTCACGGGTGTTATCCAGTGAGTCAGTCATGTGGCAGCAGAATAGCTTAAAATACTGCAAACACAGGTCAGGAGCTTCAGTGTTCACATTAAACTTCAGAATGAAGAAGAATGAACCTTGATCTCAGTGAGTTTGACCAGAGAAAGATTGTTTGTGACAGACAGGATGGTTTAAGTGTTTCTGAAGCTGCTAATCTCCTGGATTTTTACCACAACAGTCTCAAAAATTTACTCAGACTGGTGAAGAACAAAACCCACTGAGTGAGCAGCAGGTCTGGATAGAAAAAAACGTGTAGATGAGAGAGGTCAGAGGAGAGCTGCCAGATTGGTTGGATCTGACAGAAAGATTATAGTAACTCAGATAACCACTCTTATGCTCAGCAGAAAAGCAACTCAGAATGAACAGATCTAACCTGTAGGTGGATTGACTTCAACCACCTTAAGAGTACATCACGATAGGACCAGGCGGGGGTGGCACAAGCCATCTCACCGATTTGAAACTTGGCCAGTTTGAAGGGGTCCACCCAAAACTACTTCAGTCTAAGTTTAAGGAAATTTGATCAAAACTGGGGGGAGTTGGTCACCCCCTTGTTCTTGTTTTTTTTTTTTTTAACACAAATGACCAAAAATTGCCTAAAAAATTGTTCAAAAGTATGAAGCTCTACTGCTGTAAGAATTCAACCAAATCGTTTCATATTGTCACTGAATGTTATGTAACCTAAGGACAATTTATTGCTTCTAAGTTCCTGTCCTACCACGTCTCAAAGGTGTTCACAACTGCTGATGGGGGAGGTTGCATGTTTTTAAAACTAGTTTCCAACGCCTCTTGCTTTACAACACAGTGCGATATCCTGATGGAAGCAGCTATTACAACACACAAACTGTGATCATAAAAAGATGCACAAGGTCAATAGCAACACTCAGATAGACTTGGCATTCGAACTATGGTTGATATTTAAGGGACAAAGTTTGCCAAACCAACATTCACCCCTGTGTTACAGCACCCATCACAGCCTGGATTGTTGACACAAGGCAGGTTGGCTCTGTCATTTGTCTCCACAGCTGATGCTAAACTCTGAGCCTACCATCTGCAGCCTTAGCAGAAATGCAGATTCGTCAGACCGAGCTATGATTTTCTACCTTCAACTGTCCAGTATTGGGGAGTCTGTGCCCACTGCAGCCTCACATTTCTGCTCCTGGCTGACAGGAGTGGAACTTAAGTCAAAACTACTTCAAAGTCTAAGGAAATTTGGTCAAAAGCGGGAGGAGTTGGTCACCCCCTTGTTTTTTTTTGTTTTTTTTTTAACAAAAATGACCAAAAATTGCCTAAAAAATTGGTCAACAGTATAAAGCTCTACTGCTATAAGAATTCAGCCAAATCTTTTCATATTTTCAGTGAATGTTATCCTACCCAAGGACTGTCAACGTTTCGTTCTCTACGACTAGTTCCTATCACACAAGTCATGTCAGCCAAAACTGCCCCTCTCACCCAATAGTGGAAACTGTTAAAATACCCAAAGTTTTATATACATATATGTATTATATATATATAATATCTCCAATGCCGGAGCATACCGTCTAAAAGGTAGGACTTCATACTAACATTATATGCTAAAAAAATGAGTGTGCAGACTGATATAGAGTGACACCTAAACATTGGCCCTACTGATCTGCACATCGCACTTTCTTGTCCAGAGTCATGTTCTTCTGTTACACTAAATTGATACACATTTCTTCCTTTTATCACCAATGCAAGTAGTTTAAATTGATCCCAGAACACTGCTGGTCACTGCTTTTTTATTTTTCATTTGCTCTCAAATGTTAATCGGATTCCACAGGCGATGTTATCTGCACATCTGTGGATGTTTTAGACTTCACTTTACAGAACAGGTGAGACCATTAACAAAGTTAAAAGAGCTGCAGAGCTCGACTCAGCTCACAGTGCCAGTGAGTTATTGAGTAACCTTGTTCTTTCTTTCAAAACATCCCTGAGCACAAACAAAACCATTAATCCCGCACAGCTCCAAATGTTGTTTTGGATGTTGATCAATAACATCCCTGAAAGAGCGAACACAGACAGCATTATGGGATTATGAAAAAGCCAATGAAGAAGTTATAAGACTCAAACACCTCGCTGGAAGACTACAGTCACTGTATGTGCCTGCACTGAAAGAAATATAACATAGATTGTTTCTGCTTGTTTTCCTCTAACCTGTACCAGCTAGAGGCTGGGTAGTGGAGAGTAAAACTGTAAGCAGTGAATGCAATTTTCTTTGATGTACTTTATGCAGTTGGACCACTTTTTTTTTTTTTTTTTAAGGTTTCAGGCTTATTGAACAAATGAAACACACTCCTTTGTTCTTTTTCAATTCTTTCTATTTCACCATATATATTGTACAACAAAAGGCATCATCAATCAGTACAATACTTTGTAAAGTGTTGTTTGACTGATCTAGACTTTTGATATCGATCCAGTTTGTATGTTTTTATGCTGTGTCAGAATTTAGCAAATTAAGCAAAAATCACTTACTGGATCAACATACTTTGAACTGTATGTTTTTCCTCCTTCACAGTCTTCACCTCTGTGTATTGGCACAATTGAAAGTGCCACATTAGTTTTATATTGTACATATTCCACATATGATACAGTGTGCATTTGTCAGGTTTCCACACTGTGCACAGCCTGCCCTGACTGTGGCAGCGATCTGTGTTATCAGGGTAGAAGGAACCACAAGAGACATGTTGTGCTGGGCTGTCAGGAGGCTCTTTCCTCTTAATCTTTACAGCTGATCATTCTTATCACTGGGGAAAGGATGCAACGCTGCTGTAGGGATGCTGGCAGAAGGAAACTGCATAGAAGCATCTGTTTGTCCCTCCTGGGATTTTATTTTATGCAGAAATATCCCATTTGTATAAAAAAAAATAAAAAATATGCATGTGTCTGTCGAAGGAGGTAATAGCAATTATACGCTGGAAGAATTGTGTTCACTGTTTGCTCTTTCATGTTCAAGATCATCTTTGTCTCCATGAATGGTCCCTGTCATCAGCCATTTAGTACCTAATGACCCCTATAACCCTGTCAATACTCAGAGGCCAGCCGCACCGTATTAGAGTCTGGTGCTGTGCTGGTTGTGAGGACAGTGGCACTGCATCTTCTGTAACTACATCTTCAGTCAATAAAAGTGAGTTTCAAAGTCGTTTTGTTTTGGGTCATGAGGTGACAAACTCTGCAGTTACAGCAGGATGAAATACTGTGCTGTTCTGCAGCACATAGCAAACTGTTTGTACCAGACCAGCTGCAAAGTATCATCTTTGCTTTTCCTTTTTCAGGCGATCGTGGACTACTTTGAAGACAAGAGCTGTCCAGTAACGGAGCGCCTCAAGGTCTTCTACTGCTGCCAAGCCCCACCCAGATGGACTGTCCAGGTATCATTTGTTTTCAAAATCACACCCCACATTGAAAGCTTTTTCATTTTAAGAACGCAAAAGAAAATACCCACAATAACGAGCACATAATCCTCTGTCAAACTGGATTTGTTGAATGTGGTGGGATGAATTGTTCAAGAGGGGGATAATGTGGCTTTCAGTATGGCATATTGCTGCTAACACGCTGATGTTTTGCAGGTTGGCACCATGTTCACCATCTTAGTCCAGCTTTTTAGTATACCTTTGCTAACTAGCATTAAAGACACAAATAATATATCTCCATCCATCATCTATGCACCACTTTATCCTCTGTAGGGTTCCGGGGGGACAGAGTCTATCCCAGGTGACTCAAGATGATGTCAGGGTTCATCTGGACAGGTCACCAGTCTATCACAGGGCTACACAGAGAGACAGACAAGCACACTCACATTCACCCCTACGGACAATTTAGAATCACCAGTTAACCTCAGGATATTTTTTTGACTGTGGGAGGAAGCCAGAGAACCAGTGAGAATCCACGCTGCACAGCGAGAACATGCAAACTCCACACAAAAAGACCCCAGGCCCATATTCTAGCAGTGAGGAGACAGAGCTAACCACTACTGCTCCACATATACACACCCTTGTCTGATGTCAATGCCATTTTTTTTTTTAACATAAGCAAAGTATTGGACGAATTGTACTTATGACCTGATGATGGCACGAGATGAGAAGTTGTTGTAATGTACCAAAGTTCTTATGATGAATTCAATAGGAAGATGAATGGGGTACTAAATTTCATTGCGATCTATCCACTACTGTTTAGTGTAGTTTTCATGCTTGACTGAATTGAAAAAGTTGGCAAAGAGAAAGGCAAAGTGCTACAAAATTTAATGGAAACAGACTTTGAGAATATATAAAAGTATATGACGCATGTGACTTAAGCGTCCACTGAAGTTTTGGCTTCACTGCAGAGACCAAACAAAGGAGCAGATAAAAACGCAAGATCTGTGTGGGACAATGAGGAAACTGCACCTTTCTCATCTTAATACATGAAACTAGCAATTGTGTTTTCTACTTTCTTTCCTTTGTTTGTGGTTTGGGTGGTGCCCTTTGCAGTATGTTGTCTTGTTTTTCTTCTGCTGTGGTTTACTGGAGAATCAGCACCACCAGCTGTTCATCAACAAACCAACTACTAACATCTGTTTGAGGGAAACTTGATACAAACATTAATTCACAATTTTTCAAATGTGGTTAAACTTTACTCTACGTTTGATGAAACTACTTAATTTCACCCTCATGGTAGCACTAGAAGAAGAGGATAGCAAAACTATTTGCAGTCATACTCTGGAAACTACAAATATTTCAGCCAGGTTTGTAGCAACAACAGATTTTGGATGAATTGCCATGAGTAGAATTGCAGCTTCAATGCAGACAGTCTGTCATGAAAACAATAGAGTTTGTGAGAAAATTTGAATGGCAGTTAAATGTTTATGACAATCCATCTATTTCCATAGTTTCTTCTAAGTCAAAGGAGATCTCTGATTAAAACTGACATTTGTTGAGTCCTGCTGCTAGTGAAGCATATAATAATTTGAAAACAACCGTAGTGTAACTGTCACTGAGCTCTTAAAATAGCTCCATGCATGCAAAAACTACAACTGCTCATCTGTCCATCCAGCACTGGTCCAAATCAAGATATCCTCACAATTACTGAACTTAGTGTTGTAATTTTTTACATTTTGAATTTTAAAGTCTTCCACCCTCTCCTGGTATGTCATGCAAACAGCTACAATATCACAATGACAGAGTATCACTATGCGTTTGTATTATGGGTAAAATGAACATTGCAGGGTTAAGGTTAGTGACCAATAGACTTGTTTTCTGTACGTATTAATTTCTCTTCTCTGCAGGTGTTTAGACATGACAGCTATTTGGCAGGTCATAGCTAGCTCATTAACATAGCTACCGTGTTTTTGGGTTATTGAGAAATGTAAAGAATGAAGCCCACTGTGTGATAATATTATTTTACACTGCTGTTAGAGCTCTGCCACTGTTTATCTGCATTTGTAATGGAGCTGCAGCTCAACTGTGGAGTCTCAGCAGATCTCTCCGAGTACACACTCTGACCCACTCAAGAACAAATTAGATTTTCTCCAGGTTGCAGTTATCCTCCATTTTCTTGCACAATGGACTAGCAGCATATGAAGTAGCTATTTGTTTTTACTGAACACGACACATACTGCGATGCCTTATTTCTACATAGCTTTGTGTACGTATATGAGTCAGCCCAAGTCCATTGATTTCGACAGAACCTCTCTGATCGCACACGTGTTTACAAAACTTCTCCTCACGATTGTTCCAGTCCAGAATTTGTCTTGAGTATGTTAAAAGTTTGCAATAATGCTTTGTGTGTGTATTTTTTAAAACAGAATTGTAAAAGCTGATAAAATCCCCTTTCTTCCCTGGCTATGGTGAATTGTCTATCCAAACATAAAGAAATGCATTTCCTTGTGTTGAACGCCAGGGGGCACAGTCTTTATATTATACGGAATTACTGACGTTAGGCAAAGCTGTGTGGAAACGAGGCATTATACCTCCAGTCATTACTGTACTGTAGGTAGGACACTAGTTGGCCAGTATGCTCATGTTAGCTTATATTAGAACAGATGAATATGCTGCTTAATCCCTTTCTTTTTTTGTAATTTTGGCTTTTAAAATCAGTAAAAACAGTCACGCCCTCTAAGTTTTTGATACTGAGTATAACTGTGGAGTGCTCCATGAACAATGCCTCAACATGTGAAGAAATCCAAAGCTTAACAGACCTGCTGTGACTAGAGTCTATGATTTGACTCGACCAACACTGTTGGGTCTTGTCTTTTGTTGCTTTTTATTGCGCGCTTGTAGCACTTTGAGATTTATTTTAAATAAAAAGTGCTTTTTAAATAAAAAATTATTATTATTAGAATTATCATTATCATTATTATTTTTGTCTGAGTTGTTTACGGTTAGAATTTCTGTGTTTTTAGTAGAACCCCAAGACATGCTTTGAGTGCAGCAGAGGAACATGGGATATATAATTGACGTTCTGTGACACATTTGCTGAAGCACAAAGTATCATAAGATCTATGAAGACAAACACTAGACTATAACACCACCCCAGATAGGGAGCAGAATAAAAAGGAGAGAGCAGTAAGTAGAATAAGCAGTAATAGAAAGATTTAGACTTGTCCAGGAGATTGAAGGAGGAGGAGTGTTGGAGAGAGGTATAGATCAGGTGGGGAGGAGACATCACCCAGGCAGCGTGTAAGAACTGATAACGGCAATAAAGCTGGAATTGAAGAGTCTGGATTGCCGCCTGGAGACTCAAGAGTGGGTTGAAGCGAAGCATTGCAGTGCCTGCTGCAATGCATTTTGTCCTCACAGGAGGACCAAGGCTTGCATGTGGCAAAGCTCTGAAGGCCTTTTTATGGCTGGGGCTGGTTTTCTGTTTTCATGTATGTGTGTGTTATACCTTGTTTTCATGAGGAACTATTTCATTTTCATGTCTTGAGAGTGGGGACATTTTTATCCTTTCATATTGTTGGTTTTGCACATTTCAGGCCAATAACAACACATCACACACAGTGTATTTGACACTACTGCTGAGTATTTACTAAAGCAGGCCACACATTTTACAATTGATTTTTTACCTTCAAGCATTGATTTGCCTTCATTTCACTGTGGCTACAAAAATCAACACGGTAAATTTAGCGCATATCTTTCTGTAGATAAGACACTCACCACCATATAATCTTTGTTATTTTGAACCAATCTTGTGGCTACATGGCATGAACCTTGGTCTACACTGAAATTTGTCAGCAGATGGTGGTTGAAGTTCATCCTAATGACTTTGTTATTCCTGTTTTCTAGCACCACCAGCAGATTGACATTCGAGTTGTTATCTCAGCAATTTTTGTTCAGACTTTCATATTCAGGGTGCATTGCAATAGAGTCTGACCAGTGCCCCATACAAACCTATTTTACCAAACATCATCAAGAAACGTATCCTTGGGTTAATTTAAAAATGGTGTCATCATACAGTTTGTCCAGTTCTCTTCAGACTCTACACTCAACAGCTGAGCAGACAGTGGTGTGGAGTCAAGTTACTCTCTAAAATTGCCATTGACACTGGCTCCAGAAATCCAGTATCGTTGAGGCTGTATGCAGTAATAAACACTGTCTTTTCATCTTGCCATCATCAGGTTCACTATAATGATAACAGTAATGATTTATGGTCTTCATGGTTAAACACCCTCCTAATAATAACATTTCCATCAGCCTTAGCAGCTCCTTGTATTTAGTACTGTCTGTTGAATGTTAAAATGCTTGTTCACGGTTGTGAACATTTTACCTGCTCCACCACCATGTTAGCTTATTCACTGTGAGCATGTTCTCACACTGACAGCCTCAGCATGGTTGTAGCATCTTCAACTTGTTTTCTCCTCCTCTACAGCAACAGCTGGCCAGCCTGCTAACAGACCTCGGCTGCATCAGCTCGGCTCTGCTCATGTATGAAAAGCTGGAGCTGTGGGAGGATGCAGTTGTCTGCTACGAGAGGCTCGGCCAACATGGAAAGGTACACACACTCAAAAACAAAGATTCAGCAAAGTGCAGCATGTGTCTTTACTGATAAATGTTTAAAAACACTAAAAATAATATCCTCCAAGTAAATCAAGTCATATGTGAATAACTTAATATGTTTTTAATGCTCCTATTTATTTTTTTTTCTTTTTCACTAAATACACTCAGACACTGATTATTCCCTAAACTGATGACATCATCTTTGAAAGCATTCATAAGGTGCATTATTAAAAACAGGTTTGCTTTGTATCTTTTTTGCTGAACTTCAATACTTTCCATCCAAATATGTTGCATAGGGGGGAATCTCCAGGTTAATGACCATTTCTGTCCACTGCTACAGCAGAAAGAGATAACATGATTCAGCGAAGCTTAAAATAGGGAAAGTGATTGTTGAAAACATGACAACGAGATGTTATTTATGGGGCAGAAGCCTAAGAGTCACCTGTGCAGCTCTAACTAGCTTTTTTTTTAGGGACATTTTTAAGCCTAATCAAAAAAGTAGAGAGGTTGGCACTAGTATAATCTTACAGTATACTGATACTGAGTCAGTCGAGTCAGTCATGTATGTTGTCATTTATTCTCATACCCTTTTTTTAATATATACAGTATATAAAGGGCTTTTTATGTAGAGCAGTGGAGATAGACAAGAAAGGGGGAGAAGAATGGGGAGAAGAACCCGCAGTAAAGGGTCGTGAGTGGGAGTCCAACCCACGACCGCTGTGTCGGGGAGCTGTAGCCCCTGTTCATGGGTCGTGAGCTATAGGGACACCCCTATTCTCATACCTTTAATCATTTCCATCACACGTAGCACATTTGGCGCTCATAGATGTACCAACTTTTCCACCTTTGCCAATAATATGTATTATTTTGTCCTTTTTTTCTTTTTTTTTTTTTTTTAGATGTTTTTGAATTTTTTGCATTTTTAGTCTGCATTTTTTATACACGAATTGAAAATACACCTAATGAAGCTTATAATTAGCAGATGTCTAGGAAACATGACTTCAGATTAGTTTCTGTATGCTGGGATCCATTCAAAAGCAGTGAACATGTACTTCATGAACAATGTATGTTTAGTCTTTTTTTTTTTTGTTTTTATAGCACCAGTTCGCTACACAGTCATCTCAGGGCACTTCACATGGGAGGATACAATGTTATAATATGATTTCCTTTGAAAAGCTCTTTTGCGATGGTGTGAAAAACAAAACTCTCTTTTAATAATAACAAAACCTCTGGCAGAACCAGGCTCAGGGAGGGCAGCTGTCTGCCCCCACTGGTTGGGGTGAGGGTAAAGGCCAGAGAGAACAGGATTAGCAGAGAGAAAACAGACAAACAATGCATCAGAAAACAAGAACCTCTTGGGAGGCCAGTAACTGCAAATTTACATTGAGTGAAGGAAGTATTTGATCCCCTACATATTTCATGATTTCAGCCACGTACTAAAAACAGACAGTCTGTAATTTTATCAGTGGTGGGCCGTGCATTTTACTCCTAGGCCTTCAGCGGCGTCCTACCTGAATCAAACCGCCTCTTAACCGTCATTATGAAGCCTAAACTGGCTAAACTCTCCGATGGATAAAATGCTGATGTTGTCGTAGGCCAACTGGCTGGCCCTGGGACCACCAACTCAAAATCTGATTGGTTAAAGCAACAGTTTCATTGCAGTGCATTTTAAGCAACAGGTGCCTGCACATATGATTCTGAAGGCCTCAGGGCAGATTTCTTTAACCCTGGTAACACATGATGGCTGAAATATGATTGAATAATAAAAGAAAAGTATAAAAATATATATAAACATACACTGCTGGAAGAACCACAGCCCAGAGACACACTATGAAATGATGGGAACAGAGTACTGGGAATAATGTAGACAGATTAATAATATAAAATATTACAAGGTAAGTCAGTGATTGTGATAGAGTTTAGGCCAGCAGAGAAGGCCTTGCTGGCCCTAACAGCACACCACTGAATTTTATTGGTAGGTTTATGTTAATTGGAAGAGACAGAATATCAACCAAACAATCTAGAAAAGCACATCATCTTATAATTATAAATTCATTTCCAATTCATTAGGGGAAATAAATATTTGATCCCCATCCTGCCAGCAAGAATGCTGCCTCCCACAGATTGATTAAGCCTCGGTCACAACCAGCCGTACAGGCTCCTATGTGCAGGTGCCACACAAGTCCATCTTGCAAAATAGTTGAAGACAGCCTGTAAGCACGTACGAAGGATTTTGGACATGTCCAACAAATTCTTCTAATTCTCTGCGAACATTGACGCCGCAAGTGTAACTTGCTCCCCCCACAAGGAGTTTGCAAGTGAGATGTGCAATTTTTAAGGCACCGTGGGAAGAAAATCTGTTGTCTAAGACACATGTTACACACAATGAGGAAGCAAGTGCTCCTTGTGTGTTAAGTGTGGCGCACACACTCACAACTCACGAACAAAATCAAATGCACCGTGTGCATATGTCACACTTGCGACACCCCATGCCAGGAGTATATAAAGCGTACTCACAGCGCACACTCGCAGTGATCGCCAAGTGTACAACATTGGCATTTTTAGAATTGGGAGGGATCAGGGGCTGAGCCCAGAACATAAGGGGCTAGGAAAATGTTGGGCCTATTGTAGTGTATGTGCACACACTGAAATGTGTTTTTTTTTTCTTTAAATGTCTCTTTCACCTGTCTCCTCAGGCTGAGTTTAGAAATAAAAATAAAGAATCACGAATCTCATTAGTGCTTCAAACAAAAATGAATATACCATAGTAGAATCAGCTTTGGATTGCTTTAAGTAAATCTACCTTTGCAAACAAGAGTTCATTTTAATGTTTGAAGCAGTGGCAGGATTTTCTACAAATCCAAGTGAAAAGAGTCGAGACGAGAGTCACTTTCGCTCTGACTTCACTGTTTCTGAGCTGAGTGTCCTCTTGTTATCACTTAAGAGTTAGTTAAGTTACTGACTGTCCAGCCTGATACACAGAGACAAGCTGAGCAGACTGACAGGAGCTGGAGACACACACACACACACACACACACACACACACACAGTGCAACTGTTGGCTTTATCGCTGATGCACAGATCTCACACTATATTGGGACATAACGTTAATGTTTTTAAGATTTAATCATTCGTGAATATGTGTAAAAGAATATATGAAAATATGTGTCAGCAGCTCGTACGTGTCTTTGTTGGAGGAGCGGGTCGGTCACTGTTGCTGGCCGGTATCAGCTGGAAGTCAGTACCGGGGCTGACTGTGACACTGCAGGCGAGCTGTTACCACCAAGTTATCAGGATCTTTGTGTGTGCTACATAAAACATGAAATCATATTTATTTTCATCACCATTTGTTATAAAGTTTTACCTTTTATCCTGAAATCAATTTGTATCATCCCAGATCTATTTTTTAGCGCCCTGGGATGACGGGATGTCCTTAAGCTCAAACCCTGTCTGTATGTTAACAGAATTTATCAGACAGCAGGTCACCTGATCGCCAAAGTGTCTCTTGTTTTTTGTTTTGATTTTTTTTTTTGAAAGTCACGCAGAACTGACATATGCCGTCAGTACGTCATCACAAGTGTGTGAGGCAAGTGTGACCTACTTTCGCTGTGCGTTCCATTCTCTTCATAAGTGGTGAGTGTGTGCCATGTACGCAGGTAGCAAGACAAACTCAAGAAGTGAGTACAGTTTCCACAGTAATCGCACGTTGCAATTAGTGTCCCTGCTTGAATGAACATCTCACGTCGCTCCTGTGACTCGCAAGGCAGACTTGCGCCTTTCTTTCTGATGGAGCCCTTGCAACCTTTCCTCTACCTCTACGGCCTCCACGGCACCCAAAATTCACCGAGGACGTATGATCCCAAAAGTTGTGCATCCAGTTGTGACCAAGCCTTTATGTGGCACGGATATTAGCCCAGAATAAGAGGAACTTGTTAATGATCTCAAGGCAGCTTGGACTACAGTCAACAAGAAAACCATTGATAAAATACTCCAGCGTCCACAAGGTCCCCCTGCTCAAGAGGCTCATGCACAGGCCAGTCTGAAGTTTGTCAATGAGCATTTGAATGATAATTAGGAGGCTTAGGAGAATGTGACTTGGTCAAATGCGACCAAAATTGAGCTCTCTGGCATTAAGTCAACTTGCTGTGTTTGGAGAGAGAAGAATGCTGACTATGACCCTAAGAACACCATCCCCATAGTCAAGCACAGAGATGGAAACGTTATGTTTTGGGGCTTTTTCTCTGCCAAGGGTACAGGACGACTGCACCGCATTAAGGCAACAATGAGTGGAGCCATGTACCAATAATTCTTGGCAAGAACCTCCTTTCCTCAGCCAGAGCACTTAAAATGGGTTGTGGGTAGGTCTTCCAGCAAGAAAATGACCCACAGCATATGGACAAGGCCACAAAGAAGTGGCTCAAGAAGAAGCACATAAAGGTTATGGAGTAGCCTAGCCCATCTTCAGACCTTAATCCTATAGAAAATCTATGGAGGGAGCTGAAGCGTCATGTTTCTATGTAACAGCCTCAGAAGTTGAGGGTCTATAGAGAATCTGTAAAGACTAGTGGTCTAAAATATCTCCTGAGATGTGTACAAATCTGGTGACCAACTACAAGAAATGTCTAAAGCCTGTGCCCGCCAACAAGGGTTACTCCACCAAGTAAAGCATGTTTGGCTGGGGATCAAATACTTATTTCTCTTGATCAGCTCGAAATTAAATTCTAACTGTGAGGTGATATGCTTTTCTGGATGCTATTGTTGACATCCTGTCTCTTATAGTTAAAATAAACCTACTATTAAATTTATAGACCGCTCATTTTTTTGTATGTGGCCAAAATCATGAAATATACAGGAGATCAAATACTTACTTCCTGCACTATAGCTCTGCAGCAAGAAATACCTGTAGGAAGGACAAATCACAAACTGCAGGAGAGCGAAGACACAAAGTTCGTGACATACACTGGTCACGTATAAATGTATGGAGAATAAAAGAGA